GGTACTTATTACTTTCAAGTAGTCGTAAGACAATTACTTCTGTATATGTATTAAAACTGCTGTATTAACTTGTCTGTATTAAATCTGCTCAGTATTGGTGCAGTTTCAGTAATTACCAGGAATCTCAAGGTAATACTTAATACATACCTATTTCATATCCGCCAACATATGAGTTTTGTGGGAAGTACATTTTTCAGTAGTAGCAAACTAAAGTCTAAATTTTAAAGCAAATATAATTCTTATAAGACCTAGATAAGGAATTTTGAGCATGACTACTTCTCCAGCTGACTTTAAATACACTGTTTAAAATATTTATAAGTAATGTTGAAAAATGTTTTTTTTAAATTCTAATTCATTAAAATATTTATAAACTTTTCTTATTACCACTAGGAAAATAGTTTGTGAAATTACGGAAAATCCGTAGTGGAATTCTTTATTAAAACTACAACAAATACCATAATGTCAGTAGAATGCATTAATAAAATTAATTAAGCGTCATCTGAGTCAATATTAGTATGGCAATTTTCTACATTTACCCTAAACAAACAAAGACCTTTTCCCCATTAATTTTGGTTTGTAGCACTTAGTTTATTTTGTTTCAATTCAATTAATTTATAATTTTGTTCATTTATTATAATATCAGACATGAAAAAATACTTTTGTTGAATGAACAAGATATTTTTTTGTATTTTTTCCTCGATTATTTAACTTCAAAATATGGGGTTAACCACAATCTGGGAAAATATGTCTTATTCTTGTTTTTTCTCCTTAGGCATGAGATAAATTAGGCTGATAAAATATAATTCTGGCCTACTTAAGCATTTTCGAGTTTATGGTTCTCGGCATTCAGAACATGGTAAAACAAGACATTATTTTCAAATAAAAATCAAGACATTTGCTTACTAGTTAATATGTTCCTTTCATTGTTTTGTTCACTTGCCTATTGGCGTGAAACAAATACTTTAGAGAATTCAGCCAGAATTCTTTCGAGAGGGGGAAATTTATTCTCATTAAAAATATTTAAAAAAACAACAACTAAAAAAGAGCTAAAAACCCTATGAGTTAAATATGTTGAGTTTTGTGTTAGTTTCTCATTGAGTACTTTTTATACACTCAGTACGTTTACAAAAATAACGATATGTTTATTTTTAAATATTATTTGATAATTTAAAAATAATAACGCCAATTGCTAACGGATGAGAAAACTTTAAATATTTGTTTTGAAACTACAATAAAGAAACTCGTTATTCATGCGTAAAAAAAAATAAGCATAAAACTTCCGAAAATTCTTTTGCGTGTGCAAAACATAAATTTTGAGATCTTTGAATTAGTTTGAACAATGCTCTACTATTTGTTTCAATTTAGCGAACCTCGAAATGCAAAATGTTTTGATAAGCTTAAGCAGAATTTTAAGAAAATAATAATAAGGAGCACCCATTTCTTTGAAAAAAGATTTTTATTACTTTTTTTAACAATTTGTATTTGCAAACATTCTGAATAAAGTAGTTCCAAAAAAAAAATAATTTAATTTTGCGAAAATAAAATCCGATTTTTTCTTATTTTATGTATTAGTACAAGCATTTGGTGGAGCGTGAAGAAGAAATGACTGTTTTATTGGAGATATTTCTGAAGTTTTATAGAAAAAAGTCATGTTATGATTCTGTTTTAAATATAAAAATTTTTGTTTGCAGACTTTTTCTAACATTTATACACCTATTCTCTGTTAAATGTAAATGAAATTCCTATTTTATTCAGTAAAATAAAACAAATATTTTAGAAATAATAAAAATGATATATTAAGTTTAGAGATTCATATGCTAAATAATCTACATTTTTCATAAAATTATGTTCTTCATTATTTTGCCTACATTACATATTTATGCCTGTAAACGGGTTTTTATACAAACCTGTATATGCATAAAAAGTATAATTTATTCATTCAGCAACATTTGTTACGAATTATCATGTATTTTAATGAAGTACTATTTATTTATTCCAGGTAAAGTTTTTTAAAGAGCTATGTACATACTTAGAGTGTTTTCTACGTTACTGTTAATCAGTATTCAATAATTATTGAATTTAAATTAGATTTTTTTTTTTTACTTTCTGAAACTTACAAATATTGATTGTTTGAAGCAAATGAATACCAGTAATAAAAATTTCCAGAAAAAGTAAATATTTTTTGTTCTTTGACAATATTAAATAATATATATATATATATATATTTATNATATATATATATTATTTAATATTGTCAAAGAACAAAAAATATTTTCTTTTTCTGGAAATTTTTATTACTGGTATTTGCTGATTTGTAGCGCATTCGCTCTGAAACTCTTGCTTAATAAATAAGTTCTTAATAAATTGTTTATTTTGGCAATTTAGCTTCATTTCATTATTCGATTCATTATTCGATTAGTATTCATTATTCGATTAGTATTCCCCACACATTTCTTATATCAGGTGTGTAATGCGAGTTTATGAGACAATCACATTTATGCAAATAAGGTAGGAACAAAATCGAAAAGGATCCATTTGTGGGATTATCGTTTTTTCTAGACATTCAACTGAAAATTATTTTTATAACTCTGCAATTATATGATGATTGCGCATTGTATGTTTTAAAAATAATGTGCGTACAATTCATTCGAACTAACTGCCGAATAGTTTCAATACAAGATTTTGGGTACACTAACAGAATTTAAGGAGACTTAATTAAAAGAACGAGAGTAAAGTACGGAGATAGTGAAAAAGAAATAAAAATTCTCAATTATAAGTACTAGGTTTTTCTGTTTTTGTCTTAATCCTATCCAAATAACAATAATAGAATTGAATAAGAACTTAAACTCCTATTACACAGTGTAAAAAAAAATGCACATTGAACCCGAAGAAAAACAAACCACCCAGACTAACTTTTGATCTAATGATCGGATCTTCACGTTTTAGGATTCAATATATTAATGGTTCGAGAGGGTGACCTCTAATATGCTAATTAGAAAGTGCAGAAGATATTTTAAGTTACGAAATCAGAAACAAAAACGTACTTTCTCTGAATAAACAAACTTTTTTCCCCGACGGGTTCGGATTTCTAACCGGACCGCTTTCTCTTAAAAAGGATTTACAATCGGTTTTTCAGGCAAATTTTTGTATTTTTTAAGTTATAATAAAATACTAAACTTATTTCGATGATGTACAGTGGGACAAAAAAAAAAGAGACCACTCTGAATAACTTTTGATTTAATGATCGGATTAATTAGTGCAGACGATATTTTAAGTCACGAAAACGTTCATTTTCTGAATAAAAATAGTTTTCTTCCAACGGATTTGGATTTATAACCCCTAAAATATAAGGGTAGCCGCAATCTGAGAAATATGGTCCCCTCAGTTTGGTCAGGAGGGCGTTCCAATATCCAATCCTTTAATTTTAATTGATGCGTATTTCGTCATATCTCAAAAACATTTTAAGTAAATGGAAAAATGTTTACACACTCGTTTATTTAACGATAATTCCATGAAAAAATATTTTAGTTAGTATATATTATTTTATTAAAATCTGTAAAATGTTGAGTTGTTAGGTGTAAATTTTTTGCATCGTATAAAATATTGTAATTTTAAATAACAAAATTCAAAAGGTGAGTGAAGTTAAATATATATACATATTTAGTTTCCGGCAAATCAAGTATGGAAAAAATAGCAGATTTAAAATTTAATTTCTCAAAACTATTCAATTAAATTCGCTTAAATGTTTTAGTTTAACATATAAAATTACATACTTTAAGATGATGTAAAAAATTGTATGCCTTAAAATTGGAAATTTTTTCAACTATTATTTAATAAAATAATAAAAGCAATAAATATCAACTAAAATTTATTTTTTGCTTGAAATAATCTTTTTATAAATGAATTTTACAATTGTGTGCGAAATGAAACTAAGTTCTCATGTAGTAAGCTATGATCTCGAGATGTAGCAAAATACGCAAAAAGTAAAATTAACATTAATTGGTCAAAACTTTAAACCGCTCTCATACCAAAGAAGGACTATATTTTCCAAATTGTTGCCACCCCTTATATTTTAGGTCCAGAAATCTAAATCCGTCGAAAAAGATGTATGTTTATTCAGAGAAAGTACATTTTTGAGTCTGATTTCTTAACTTAATTTACGCACTGGATAATTAGAATATTTTAAATGACCCCCTAAAAACCAATAGGATTGAGTCCTAGAACTTGAAGTTCCGATCAAAAATTATTCAGACTGGTCCCTTTTTTGGCACACATAATGTTTGTTTTCTTAAAAAATATGTTCCAATTAATATTGCATTGCTGATTTATTTATAGAATTAATGGTTGCACATTATTTATACCATAAAGAAAATATCCAACGGATTTGAATATTAAGATATGATCAAATATCTCGAGAAATAAAGATTGTATGAAAAATCTAATGTACGTTCCAAGGAATGCTTTATTGATACCAGCTGCTTCAGACAGTAGTAACTCTCACGGGGTGTGGTTCGATATTGATGTCATTAAAAATATTTTTTTTTAAATATCGTATAAATAATTTTTTCTTCTTTGAGTTGACATGCATTTCTCGAAATATTTTTTTCAACTATTTTCATTTTACTTTTTGAGTGTCACATGTGAATCGAATTTAAAAAGCTTATAGGTCAAAATGTAGAAACATTTTTCATATAATGTAAATCTGAAATAAATGATATTTTCTATTTCAGCTTTTGAAAAGACCATCCCCCAGCGATTGAGAATTTGAGATGTTTGAAAACATTTTAATGTATTATTAGATTAAAATTCAATGCTTATTTCTCGAGATATTTGATTGTTTCCATTCTTATCACTCATCCTATATAATGTTTAAATTTTGTATATAAGACACTTTCTATGTATAGTTTTTCCAGTCAATCTAGTAAAACTTAAGTCCGTAAGAACAAATATGAAAAAGTCAATTGAATTTGTTAATAAAAATAGAAATAAAGTCATAGCAA